CGATTCGCTAGATGTTTCTATCCATAATGCTTCTAATATCTTTGTGTCCTCTTACCTCCAGTCGGTGTGATTCGCTTTTTGGGATACACGGTAGTCTCTTATAGCTTTCTGAACATCTTCAGCGGTAACAGCCATTGCTTGGATGGCATTCGCTAATAGTGTAGCACTGGGATCCTCTTCTGCTAATATTGTGGCTATGACTGTGTCCTCATCAGTGGTGGAGTGGTTACTGATAAGTCTGGACAGTGCATCAGCTTGACCGAAATCTTCGGAACGTCGGTGAGAAGACATCAGTGGAACCCGGCATTTGTTGAATTGCATGAGTATTTTGAGGATCAGGATGACGTCCGGAAGCAACGAAGATAAACCCCAGTTATTTAACGGAACGTAAGAAGAATTTTCATTTCTTTGGACGAAGGCGAAAACCATTATTCTGGAGGCGTTGCAGAACTGTGTGTTCTGGTATGCAATTCAGCGATTGAGCCGGCAATGAGGACATCTTCAAGGTAAGTAGCAACGCCAGGAACATCTGCCAGAATAGTATCCATAATCCGTTGGAAGATCTCTGGAGCAGTTTTTATAACAAAGGGCAACCGGGTATACTGAAAAAGTCCTCGGTAAGTGTTATTTGTCAACAACTATCTCGACTCGAGAGCGACAGAAATTTGAAATTAATCATCCGCTAGATCAAGCTTAGCAAAGTAAGTTCCATCATTTAAAATAGTAAATAAGTCATCTGGGATCGCTAGCGTATAATGATGCTGTTGTAGTGCCGCGTTGAGTCCTGTGGAGAAGTCTGCACAGATGCGTATGGGACCATTGGGTGTTTTTACAACTGCAACTGGTGCAGCCCATGATGAATAAGAGACAGGCACAAGAACACCCTCAGTTTCCAAACGTTGCAGTTCAGCGTCAACCAGAGGTAGAGATGCGTATGGGACTGGGCATTTTAGACGAAAAACTGGCGTAGCTTCTGGTTACAGTCTCAAAATAGCTTCCGCTGTGGAACAAAATCCGAAACCAGGCTGAAAGAGTTCAGTGAATCTTTTTTGAAGATCTGCAGCATTCTGCTGTGTAGTGGCAGGAGTTTTTACTTGATTGCAGATAGTGCTGATGGAAAGATCGGCAAGACCAAGTTCTTCGAACCAATCTAACCTCAGAAGGTTGAGAAGAGACTTGGTTATGCAGCACGTTCCATTGAAGGTTGTACTTCTGAACGAAACAGCAATCGAGTTTATAATGAAAGCGGAGATGACCCGCACAGGCACTGAAAACTGTCTGTGACGATGGTTTGATGGGTGGTTGACCCAAGGTTCGCCAACTCTTTTCCGACAGAATGATATCTGATGCAGTATCCAACTGCAACCGAACCGGCTGACTATTGATTGAGATGGTCAGAAATTTGCGTCGAGTAGAGGCGTCGGTGTGGAAAACCGCTACTAAACTCGTAGATGCGGCAAACGGCTTTCTGAGAACACGACGCCGCGTCTGTGAATTTCGCCGGCCAGTGAATGTGGTTGATTGGTAAAAACCTCCTTTGTAACCAACTTTCTGTCAGCGATAGCACACATGCTGCTTGAATGGACAAAATTTCCATGATTGTCAGGCTCCACAGTACCAACATGGTGAAGGGGTCTTCTTACGAGCCGATTTGGAATGATTAGAAACAGAACTGGCGTTCGAAGGACCAAAGTTTTTCGACCTGGAAGATTTGTTCTGTTGCTGACCAAAGTGAACTTCGGAACCACCCTGGTCCCCAGAATGTACCAAAACGATGTCACGCTGCAAGTTGATAATACGTTGGTACTCATCTGTGATCGCATTAAGTATCAGTGTTGGGTATTGTTCAAGGCGATTAGGCAACCGAGTTCTGATGTCGGAGAATTTGTGTGATTGAAGACTGCATATGAATATGAGGGATTTGAATTCGTCGTCAGTGAGGGATCTGAGTTTGAAACGTTCGCACCCACGGTTGACAATGCCAACATGGGTCAGGAAGTCGTCGGACTCACTCATGACCTGTTTTAAGCAGCGGTAGTGAGCATTGAGAAGAGAGTGCTGATCCCCCAAAAGTCGGCTGAGGGACTGAATAGTAGCGTCGAATGGACGGTCTCGTGTGTCCTGCGGTAGGATGAAGTTGCAATACTTGTCCAGTTCTTAAGGAGAAGACGCACCTTCCAGGAATCATCTTTGTCAGCAAAGTCAACTTTGAGGAGATCTCCATAACGCCCAAACCTGGTATCAAATGTAATATTGGCGTCAGGATCATAAAGAAACTCTGAAATACTACTGGTCATACCATCGACTGACTGGTGAATTGTCGGAATAGATGAGACTTGAGAAGAGATGTGCGCCTGAGTACGCATCTCCATCAGCTTCAGCTGTTGTGCAAATAATTTTTCTAATTTAGGTGGATCCATAATTAGTCAACAACTCGTTTGCCAAATCCCGGTCGCCAATTGCTATAATGCTGCTACGTAGCTATTCAAAATCCTACCGATTGACCAAATTAAGATATTCCAGTACGACCCCAATTATTGTTCCCAAATCTCCATTATATCAGGACACAACACCGTTAGATGAAGTTGTTTATGGGGTCGAGTACAGAAGGAATGAATAATAAGCTTTACAAGATAATGCATATTTATACAGTTAGGTCGAGTAGGAAACAACATTAAAGTCTGTGACATTGATAGTTAGGACGACCAGTGGGAAGCAACATTGAATTATGTGACATTGACAGGACGACCATAATATTGACCAGTAGGAGTTGACCAATAGAATGAGGCTTCCAAAAATAATTCTCCTACGATATTTGATGAATATCCTAACAACCACCTCTGGAAGAAGTTAATGTCGACGCAGCCAAAGATTTATCTGAATTTTCTTTAGTTGTCTACGTTTGTGCTACGATCGCCTTTGAGGTAGCAATCCTGAACCTGGAGGATGTACTGCTTTGTAAACGTAATGTCTGGCAGCAGAAGATGAGGGAAGATCAAGAAAGGAAGAGTGGAAACACAATGGAATTTGTATGAAACGCATGAATAGTGGAATGTCAGACAATGGATTGATGATTGATTGATGATTTGCAAATTAACGGTTACGATATGGTTTTCCTATTTTCCAATTAACTCTAATTTTCGTTAAATACAATTCTTTTTCCCTCACCTTTGTTCTCCTTCACTACATTTGGTGTCGCTGCCTGCACGAAGGAAGGAGCTCCTGTGGCCGAAGGAATTTCAGGACGGAGATTGGCGAAGCTTCCTGGAGGAGTTTGACGCAGTGGTGGGGCTGGCATGTGTGAAGGGGCCCGGGGCGGAGTTGCTGGTTCTGGGGACTCTGCAGGGAGGTGAGGCAAAGGCTTTATACGACAGGTTGGACGGCGCCGCCTGGAAGACGGCGTGGGAGACGGTCACGGGGCGAATAGTGACCGAGTTCGTCGGCCCAGTGGACAGGGAGGAGGCACCGCAGAGGTCCCTGTTGGCGAGGTTGTCTGTCTCACTGGTGCTGGCTGTGGAGCTCACGATGTTGCTGCGCCGTGCGCTGCCGAGTATGGATGGGGAGTCGGGGGCACAGTTGTTGGCGTTGCAATTTATCGAGTGTGCCTGCCGCCGTGTCCCAGCAGCGGGAACTAGTAAACGCTACACGTTGGATAGTTGCCGTACCCATTCCAGACCAGCGGGCAAGAACAATGACCGAAGTGGTAATCCGGCATATTGTAGCGTGTCACGGAATACGGAAGGTGATATTAACTGACCAGGGTCCCTGTTTTGAAAGTAACGAGTTTAAAGCCCGTCTAAAGCAGTTTGGCATCAAGAGGAATCGAACTACACCGTATCATCCGCAGATAAATGGGCTTACACAGAGAAGACAAGCAGAAGCGCGTAAATGCTAGTCAACTGCATAGGTGGTTTCACGATTATCAGGTATGTGAGTCACGAAAAGCACCGAAGAAGAAAGCGGTACGGCGATCAGAAAGACTACGACGACAGCTTAATAAAAGGGGGAACGAGTGTGGTTCGCGCTACTTATAAGTAGTATATGAAGTGAGTGTAGAATCTCGCGTCATCGATGCATGCTGCGTCTCCGAAACGCGCATACAGGATCCGAGTAGCATCACTCATTTGACGTCACCATGTCAAGATAAAGAAGCAGTTCGATAAACTCTTCGTGTATCCAGAAGCCTATAGCACTG